CAGAAAATACGGTAGGCCGAAATATATGAAAATAAAAAAATAAAGACCATCAACAGAGTCATTAGAGATGTATGCTATCTCCCTTTTCTTTCTTGTAGTTTCCCTTGCCTCCAGGAAGGCCATTGATTTAAAGAAAGAAACAGAAAGAGAGGCCAAAATAAAATATAAAGACCATCTACAGAACACTTGGAGACATATCTCCCCCTTCTTTCTTGAGGATTCTTCAATATTTCTTTCTTCTCTTTTCTAGATTATGTGTCTGCTGGCATCACCACTGTTTGGATCTTGACCGCCGGAGCCAAAACTCAAACTCCACATGCCTGAAAATCCACTCTCACCGAAGGGTTCTTATCCCCCAACCCACTTTTATTGGGCATTCAGTTAGATAGGGAGGCACAAAAATCATATTTGCTTCAGTTTGGGGGGCTGGAAGCGAGGGGAGTCTGGGCAGGGTGACCAAGCATCCTCCTTTTCCAGGATATGTCCTACATTTCAACCTTCTGTCCATTTCAAACTGTCCTCCGTTTTGAGGATGTCTAAGAAACATGAATTTACATTCATGTGAGCGTTTTTAGCTTTGATTTGGTAATGTCCTACATTTTGTGGTGCCTTATCCTCCTTTCTGGTTATGACATCTGGTCACCCTGGGTCTGGGTTTATAACTTGGGTTAGCCATAAACCTCACTGGGTGATGTGGGAAACTTATCAACTCTCTCTGGCTAGCCTTCCTTACAGGGCTGTTGAAAAGAAGACACGGAGGTCACCCTAAAGCTCTTGAGATGAAGGTGGTGATGAAACAACACAACCGTGAATAAGGCACTCTGTCCACTGCTTTATAGCCAGCATGGCATAGTGGTTTGAGTATTGGACTATGACTCTGGAGACCAGGGTTCGATTCTTCGCTTGGCCATGAAACACACTAGGTGGCTTTGAGCAAGTCACACTCTCTCAACCTCAGGGGAAGTCCATGGCAAACCTCCTCTGAACAAATCTTGCCAGGACCTCCATAAGTCAGAAACCAGTGCTTTTAGTAATGTCTGCCTCTTGTATTTTATTTCCTTACAACACCCCTCCCTCCACCCAATATTCTGTCCACTGAAAATCCTGCCTTAAGAACATTCTTTAGAATTAAACCTTGTTTAAATTAAACGTTTTAGTTTTTAATCACCTTTGGAATTGATGACTTTTAATATTGTTGTAGGGAATTGTTCTCAGATTGTTTCACAGTGACAAGCCTCTAAAGTGCATTAACACATTTTTCAGTCAGAGGAATGATTGACTGATTGATTGATTGATTGATTGATTGATGGAATGATTGAATTAGTCTACAGACCATTTCAGAGGAATGACCCACACTTCTCCACCCAAGCCTTCCTTCCCAATCCCAAATTCCCCAAGTCTCCTCAGAAACCCCAAAGTTGGAGCAAGCAACCCTTGCTCCATTTCCAAAAGTTTTCCTGACTAATTATTCCTAGCTCTCTCTTCCCCTTTGGAGCCACCCAACTCCAAAGCCTAGAATGCCCTTTTGCAAGAATTGCAGGGAAGAACTCTTTGGGGAGAAGAAAATCTGGGGAGGGGGGGGATGATCCAAGAAACAGAGAGGAGCGACAATGGGGCCTCTTTTGAGTCTCTATCCCCACAGACTAAATTGGCCAGACTAAATTGGGGAGAAAGTGCCTGGGACACGAGGCTGCCAAAGCCCTTCCATCTACAACGCAGGAGACGTACACTTTGCACATGTTCAGAGGCCACTCTTATATAGAATCCTAGAGTTTGGAAGAGACACCAGAGGCCATCCAGACCACCCCCTGCAATTCAGGAACACACCAACAAAGCACACCCAACAGATGGCCATCCAGCCTCTGTTTAAAAACCTCCAAAGAAGGAGACTTCACCACTCTGAAAGGCAGCTTATTCCACTGTGGAACAGCTCTTACTGCCAGGAAGTTCTTCCTAATATTGAGGTGGAATCTCTTTTCCTGGAGGTTGCACCCATTGCTCCATGTCCTAGTCTCTGGAACTGCAGAAAACAAGCTCGCTTCATCCTCAATAGGGCACCCTGTCCAATATTTAAAG